AGAGTAAAAACAGTTTTTAAAATCATTACTATTTCTTTTAAAAGATAATCAAGGATTTTTTTTTTTATATAAAAAAATATCTACTTTTTTAAAAAAAACATTGAAAAGTAGATGAAATAAAAAAGTAAAATAAGATAAAATACATCGGGATGATTATCTTATATTAAAATATTTTAAAGATTTTTTTTACTAAAAAATGTTTAAAAATTATTTTTGACCAGAAGATTTTTATGAATTCTTTTAATTTTTTATAGATAATTTAATCTTTATTTATCATAATTTTTATGAATTAAATTTGAATATTTAAAATAAGTTATTAATAAATAAAAACAATATAATGCTGCAATATACTTATTTTATTAATTTAAAATATAAATTATATATTTAAAAATATTTATTTATACAAATTTTAAATATAAATTATATACCTAAATATAATATTTATTTATATATAATTTATTATAAATTTGAATTATATAATAATAAAAGCAGTTACTAGAATATGAAGCAAAAGATTAAATTTAATCTAAAATCCGATATTAAAAGTCTTTAATTGTAGTTGCAATATTAATTAATTTGTTTATCTCTGGAATAAAATGCATGAAATAATTATCTCTGGAACCGGACTATACCCAGAATATTCTGGTGGATTGCGTTGTATCTGTTGGTGAAGTGCGTTTCTTAGTCATTAGAGGCAACTCAATTCAAAATCAAATGCATCCAATTCCCCTCTCGAATATTCCCTTTTATTCCCTCTCTCCTACACCCTCCGATCCTTAACCAACCCTATTTTCATCACATCCAACGCTTCGGATTAAACTTCAATTTACACTAAATTTTTCATGGCCTCCTTCTCCCCTGCCAGGAACTATCCATGTGCCATGTAATATTCCTTTCGAATCAAAGATTCCTTTTTCGTTTTTGGGTTTAGGGTTAACCCTCTTCACTATAAATACCCTTTTCTCTCTTCCCATCAAAACCAAGCCAAGAACCGATCTTTAGAGCACTTCCACGCACCCAAATAGATTTCTTCTTCTGGGCCACTCACATTTTCTCAAAATGTCTGGAATTGTTGTTGTGTTTGACTTCGACAAGACCATTGTTGATGTCGACAGTGATAACTGGGTTATTGATGAGTTGGGTTTCACCGACTTGTTCAACCGGCTCCTTCCCACCATGCCTTGGAACTCTCTCATGGTAACACTTTTCTGTCTTGTCACGTGTTCTGTTTTTTCAATGTAACGTTTCTCATACTTCTTTTTTTGTTTTTTTAATATAACTTTGAAAAGTGCATTGTCTTAAGGGAGTGTCTTGTGTTTCTGTTTTGGAATTACAGGACAGGATGATGATGGAGCTTCATTCACATGGTAAAACAATTCAGGACGTTGAACGTGTTCTGCGTACGATCCCCTTGCACCCTAGAGTCATACCTGCTATTAAAGCAGCTCATGCTTTAGGGTATGTGATTATGTTATGAATCTTTTTTTTCTTGTTTTCAATATTTCCTTTTTTTTTTTTTAATTTATTTTTTAATTTAAATATGGAAATTTATGGTGGCATTTGTTTTTTCAGGTGTGATTTGAGGATTGTGAGCGATGCCAACATGTTTTTCATTGAGACCATTTTGAACCACTTGGGGATAAGAGCATACTTTTCGGAGATCAATACTAATCCTGGTTATGTCAATGAAGAAGGAAGGTTAAGGATTTTACCTTACCATGACTTCAACAAAGCTTCACATGGCTGCACTTTGTGCCCTCCAAACATGTGCAAGGTGAAAATATAAACATGTTATTCGTCCATTACCTTATTTTTCTGATACAAAGATAAATATTTTTTTTTACATGATTTGAACCTGTCTTTCGTCGGTCAAAATCATGGTGGAAATTGAAAAATGTACTTAATTCTCAATTGAAACTCTTCTTAGTTTAAAAAATAAAAAACCAGTTTGTATGAACAGTTGGCAACAATAATACACGTTTCTAGATATAGTTTTCAAGTTGATCTTAACTGGCTCTACCTTCTGGGAAAGTGTTTTTTTGTTTATATTTAAATTATGAAGATAGGTGCTAACGTGACTCAACATGTTCGAGTCATGCATTGATCCTACAACAATGGAGTGCTGTCTTCTGAATTTTTGGCCATTCAAAAAAAATTAAAAAATTTTGTTTAATCAACCACTCTATTGTGGTTTTCGTCTCTAATATGAGCCCACCGGATTTGATTGAAATAGAAAATAAAGAATAAATTTTGACTTAGACCCACCAATAGTTCAAACAAATAAATGTTAAATAATTACGTACCAAAAGATGTTGGGTTGAAGCTTCTTAAACTGATTAAGAAGATTCTTTTATTTTCAATTGTGACCAATTACCATAAACTAAACTCTTATTTTATTTGTAACCATTGCAGGGTTTAATCATAGACAGAATCCAAGAATCAATTTCACAAGAGAACAAGAGGATCATATATCTTGGAGATGGTAGTGGGGACTATTGCCCAAGCTTGAGGCTGAAAGAGAATGATTTCATGATGCCAAGGAAAAACTTTCCTGTGTGGGATTTGATATGCAAAGACCCTTCAGTTATTAAGGCTGAAATCAATGGCTGGAGTGATGGAGAAGAATTGGAGCAAGTGTTGTTGCACTTGATCAACAAAATTTCCATTGAGGAAAAGGCTCACTTAATTTCATCTGATTGCAAACTACAAACTCTGTCTGTCTCTGCTTTGGAGTCTTTGCCCAAAGTCCTCCCAGTTCGGCCATAATTTCCTACTTTATAGTATCTATAAAAATGTATCATAATAACTCAAAAGAGGGTTTTTCTTTTTTCGTTTATTAACCCTACACTAAATTAGCTAATGTCGGAATTGGTCCAAGGTGGCTGTCCATGTTCCAACCATAATTTCTATTAAATAGTAATACCTGTTTGCTTTAGATCCTTGCAGATTGGTTATTTTTATGTGCTGAACATTATTTTACTGTGGAAAGTATTTAATTAGAACTTGATATTTTGGTTCTTGGCAAACATACCTGACACCACTTTTGTTTTCTATTCGGAATACATAACACTGATCTAAAACATCTTCAATGTTGGTCTTTGTATAAATTAATACTTAAAATCAGACAGGATAATATTGAAAATTTTAAAAAATAATGAGAAAAAATTGAATATTTTAAAAATAAAGTGACATAATTGATTAACAATTAAAAAAAAGGCAAAAGAAAATATTAATTAGGTAAAAAAAATTAAATTTATTTAAACAAAAAATAATGTTAAATAAATTATTATTCAATTTGATATTTCTATTTTTTAATATTCAATTTAATCTTTTAATTTTTCAGAAAGTTCAATGTTGTACTTTTATGCAATTTTGTAAATGCCATTTGTATTAATTTTCATAGAACGGCAACATTAAATATTTTCTGAAAACTAAAAAATTAAATTAAATATTTAAAAATAATAAAACTAAATTAAATCTAAACAATAAAAAAAATTGAAAGTATAATTTAACTTTATTTTCTTTACCTATCAAAATTATAACAAATAGAATATGAGCTTCTTTCCACCTCAAACATAGGTCGAATAATTATTAGGGTTAAGTTAGTAGTTGGGTGGGAAGGGGTTAGGGTAGTTAGAAGGACTTAGGTTCAATCTTCATTGCGATTATCTTTGTAATCTTTTCTATCTTTATTAAAAAAAAACATAGGTCGAATCAATAGTGCTAACATGGTGTTGTTTTGTAACCAAGTATCGAGATATATAGTTGTTTTAATTAATTGGTAATAATTTTTTACCTGTCATAACAAACTAACATAATTTATTATGGAAAATTTCTGGTGTTCTAAAAAATCTACTAACGGTAATTTTATGGTTGTTTTTGAGACCTCCAAAAGATATTCTTAGTAAATAAAATAAGGTTAAAATAAATTTTTAATTTTTATAATTTTATTTCATCTTTTAATTTTTATATTTTAAAATAGATTTTTTTTTAAGTTTTTAAACTTATCTTTTTTTTTTTTTATTTTAAAATTCCAATATTTAAAGATAATTTTTTTAGTCTTTATATTTATAATTTTTTTAATTCTTTTTATCTCTATCGTTGATTCTTTTATAATATTTTTTTATTGACATGAAAAAAATATTAATTCAACTTTATATATTTTATATTAAATTTATTTTACTGAAATTACTCTAAATTAAATTTCTTAATATTTTGTGTTTCTTTTATATTCTTATGTATGATATCTATGATTAATGATAAAGAATTAAAAGATTAAAAACCTCTGTAGGCATAAAGATTTAAAAGATCTATCTTAAATTGTAGAGATTAAAATAGATTAAAAAATAAATATAAAAAATAAAAAAAAATTATTTTAAATTATAAAGACTGAAATATAAAATAAGTATAGGTATATAAATTAAAAAAATATTTTAACTATAAAAACAACTTTTTTGCGAGTAACTAATTTGAAAACAACCCTATGACAATAAATAGCTTAAGAATGTCCCAAATTGGTGAATAATTCGTCATTAGATTTCTTGCAGACGCCTTCAAGACTTTGTTGATTTTCTTAGTGGACTTCAAAAGCAACAACCCTTGATTTCCTCATTTCATTTTTGTTATCTCCAACACAAGTAGTAACTTTGATTTCTAAAGCAGGTAACTCACTCCATGTTTCTTTTACAAACTGATCACTAAAATATATTTGTTTCAAAAATTTTCACCACTAGTAGTTTTCAAAGATTGCTGGAAAATGAATGCTCACAATAAGGGGTGATATGCAAATTAGGTGTTTTTTTATTTATATTTTTTTTACCAACTATGTACTAAAGTATATTTACTTTTAAATGACATTTTTTTTAACTTTTGAAGGTCAATTTTTGATATTCTTAAAAGCTTTCATTATCAACATTAGTTTTCTGACATTTGTTTTTAAATAATCGAATCATTTTTTTTATTATCACTTAAAGATGTTTCTAATTTATATAAAATGAGTTAGTTTTGATTTTTATAAAATAATTTCTTTGTTTTTTATCTTCTAAAATTTTTAGATATTGTTTTTATTTTTGTGAAATGAATAAATTTTGATTTTAATCCTATAAAATATTTTTTTTTAATTTTCATGTATATAAAATCTAAAGTCTTTATTTCTAATTCCATACGGTTCTTTCTAGGTAGATAAATGATAAATACTTTAACGATTTATACAAATTTTGAGAGGTGTGAAACACCGGTATGAGTTAATAGTTGTGAGATTGCAAATGATTTCTCAAACACCATCGTAGGTGATAGCACTGGTCATAAAACAATGATTTAAAACAACACATATCTATTTAGTTTAAAAAAACCTTAATAAATTGAAAAATAGCATTGTTGTACATTGAAATTTTTTGATAAATGGCAATCACCTATGGTTTCATATGATTAGGTAAATTAATTGTATGCACACAAATCTGGAAACGGACTATACCCAGAATATTCTCTTGTATCTGTTATTGGTGCAGGGAAGAGAAGTGCATTTCACAGTCAGGACAGTTAGGTTTAGGCATCCAATTAATTCCCCACTCATATATTCCCTTTTATTCCCGCCTTTTCTTCTCAACCCTATGATTCTTTGACTAGCCCAAATTTCAGCATATCCAACGATTCAAACTTACCCAAATTCTTATGACACTTTCAAAGTTTCAAATATCCATGATGCGCAATGCAACATTCCTTCTTTTTTTGGGGTTTTAGTTTCACTATAAATACCCTTTTCTCTGTGAGTATCAAAACCAAGCCAAGAACCAATCTTGAGTCCTGACACACCCAAATAGATTTCGCAAAATGTCTGGAATTGTGGTTGTTTTCGACTTCGACGACACCATTCTGGATGTCGATAGTGACAACTGGGTTGTCGATCAGTTGGGTTTCACCCATTTGTTCAATCAGCTACTTCCCACCATGCCTTGGAACTCTCTTATGGTAAGCATTTTGTTGTCTTGTCACATGTTCTGGTTTTTCAATAACTCTTTTATTTATTTTTATCTTATTTTGAGTAAGTCTCCGTATCATTAATTCAAATTAATAACACCAGTACTTGAATTTGACGTAGAATATGAGTTATTGAAAGTAGTTTTGAAAACGGGTCTATCTATATATATATATATTTCTGAAACCTTGTCTTTCTTTGTGTTTGGGTTTTCCATTTATAGGACAGGATGATGATGGAGCTTCATTCACATGGTAAAACAATTCAGGACATTGAGCAAGTTCTGCATAGGATTCCCTTGCACCCTAGAGTTATACCTGCTATTGAAGCAGCTCATGCTTTAGGGTATGTTTGTAACTATTATGTTATGCTTTTTTTTTCCTTGTTTTCAATATTCCTTTTTTTTATTATTTAATTTAAATATGGAAATTTAGGGTGGCATTTGGTTTTCCAGGTGTGATTTGAGGATTGTGAGCGATGCCAACATGTTTTTCATTGATTCCATTTTGAAGCACTTAGGAATAAGGGAATACTTTTCGGAGATCAATACTAACCCTGGTTATGTCAATGAAGAAGGAAGGTTAAGGATTTTACCTTACCATGATTTCAACAAAGCTTCTCACGGCTGCACTTTGTGCCCTCCAAACATGTGCAAGGTAATTCAGATATCGGTTTTCATGCATTACCTTATTTTTCTTAAATGATGTGAACCTGTCTTTGATTGGTCAAAATCATGATCAAAATTGAAATTTCAAAAATCGATTTGTGTAAACAGTTGGCACCAATACACGTTTCTAGATATAGCTATCAAGTTGATCTTAGTTGGCTATAGCTTCTGTGAAAGTATTGTTTTTTTTATTTTTTATTTTTTATATATTTTTAATTACGAAGTTAGGTGCTAACGTGACTCAACATGTTCATGGGTCATGAATTGATCCTATACCAATGGAGTGCTATCTACTGTTTTACTGACCTTTAAAAAAATTACAAAAACCAGCCAACCACTCTATCGTGGTTTTCGTCTCTGATTTGAGCCCACTGGGGTTGATTCAAATTCAAGGCAAAGAATAATTTTGACCTACTCCCACCAATAGTTATAAATAAAGAAAGAATTATCTACCAAAAGATGTTGGATTGAAGCTTCTTAAACTGATTATGAAGTTTCTTTTATTTTTAATTCTTACCAATTATTATAATTCTAAAATCTTATTTTATTTTAACCATTAATTGCAGGGTTTAATCATAAACAGAATCCAAGATTTAATTTCTCAAGAGGATAACAAGAGGATCATATATCTTGGAGATGGTAGAGGGGATTATTGCCCAAGCTTGAGGCTGAAAGAGAATGATTTCATGATGCCAAGGAAAAACTTTCCTGTGTGGAATTTGATATGCAAAGACCCTTTGCTTGTTAAGGCTGAAATCCATGGCTGGAGTGATGGAGAAGAATTGGAGCAAGTTTTGTTGCAATTGATCAACAAAATTTCCATTGAGGAAAATGCTCAGCTCATTTCATCTGATTGCAAGCTACAAACTCTCTCTGTCTCTGCTCATAAGGCTTTGCCTAAAGTCCTCCCAATTCGGCCATGATTTCCTAGTATAGTATCTTCAAAAATGTATCATAACTCAAAATTATTATTATTATTATTTTTTAAATAAATTTAAACCTTCACTAAAATTGCTAATGTTGGAATTGCTCTAGATCCTTGCAGCTTGGTTATTTTTATGGGCGAAACATTATTTTACAGTGAAAAATATTTGATTATGATCTCAGTTCCTTAAATGGATATCTGATCCTTCAAAGGCTGATTTGTATTGCAAAAGGCATAAAGTAACTTGCCTCTTTCGAAGTTGTCATGCATTCTTGTAGAATGCGAAGGACACCCTCCAAAGTCGTCCTAAAAATTCAAATTGGATAACATGCGATCCTTTAATAATTTTCCTCATTTTCTTTTCTCACCCCATTTTTTTAAAATTTATTTTCTTTCTTAAATTCAGATTCAAACATCGTCGTAGCATTCTTCCATTTATGACCAAGCTACACTAGTGTCAAAACACGGATGATCACAAGTTGCATTTAGAAACAAAAACATAACATTCCCAAGCAAGTTGGTGTCTACAAAAATAGGCAACCAATATATATATATATGATGGAATAGTTCATAAATAGCATTTGAAAAGCAAACTCATGCTAGGAGCAATGTAATACAAGCAAGTTGGCGGATCCACCCTGAGTCAGTGAGGACAAGCTTTTTAAAAAAATAAAAACTAGTAATAATATATTATATTTATAAAGAATGTATGAATAGAATTTTATAGTATAGTGACTAAGTTAACTTTTTACACTCTTCAATTGTGGCTTGATTCATGCTAAGAACTATTGTAACACTCCAAGTTTTTTAAAATTATTAAAAAAGTATATTTTAATTAATTAAATGAGTTTTAGAAAATATTTTAGAGACTTTTAATAATTATGAGTGTTTTTAATAAATGTTTACAAAATTATTTTGCATAATATTAGTTGGAGGAAAATATGTGTTTTTGTTATGATTATTTTATGCATTTTATTTATAATTGTGTTAAAAAAATATGTTTATTTTATATATTATTTATAAGTTTTAATATTTGAGGGAAGGAAAGTGTGACTATGGTTAAATTGTTTTACTAAAGGGGTTAAAGATAAGTTAAGGAGTTAAAAGGAGTTATGTATTACGCTTCTCATTTTTCATCTCTTTTTGTTTCGTGCTCTAAAGAATTGGGAGAGGTTGCTGAAGATCATCGGAGATAATTGTTAGGTAGTAAGATTTACTACTAATCTCTTTTCTCTTCTGTTGTATACATTGTATGAAAGGAAAATCCCAATGTGTGACTTATGTTGTAATTTTATCTTCCATGTTTCTTCAACTCTCTTAGTAATGTATTAAACATATATGCATAGTTAGTTTCATATATTGAGCTAGTATTGTGAATCTTCGATTTCTTGTAGGCTTGTGGGAATTCTAAGGGAATGCATTTGGTAATTGTACAAGCACTAGCGCAAAAATTAGATTTAAAATCGGAGTTTTAAGATCGGTTAAAAGGTAGCCGATCTTAAAAGTGACGCGGTGACAATTTTGTAAATAATATGAAAACTTTTATGATCGGTTAAATTTTAACCGATTTTAAAAGTACTTTTAAGATCAGTTATTTTATGATCGATCTTAAAAGGTATGTCTGACACAACTTTTAAGATCGGTTACAAAACAACCGATTTTAAAAGTTGTATCAGACATAACTTTTAAGATCGGTCATAAAATAACCGATCTTAAAAGTACTTTTAAAATCGGTTATTTTATGACCGATTTTAAAAGTACTACTTTTAAAATCATTTATTTAAGAACCGATTTTAAAAATGTTACGTTTAAAATTGGTTATTTAAGAACCGATTTTGTATGTAGTATACAAAATCGGTTCTTAAATAACCGATTTTAAAAGTATCGTCAGAAACCTTTTATATTTCCCTTCATTCTCATTCTCTTAATCTTTCCCTCCATTCCTTTTTTTACTCTCTCGCGCTCTCATTTTCTAAAGTCTCCCATAAGGTAAATTTCATTGTCGTTTTCGTTTTTGTTTTCTCATGCTCTTCTCATGTCTCTTTTTATCTTCTTATGCTCTTCTCGTGTCTCTATTTTCGTTGTAGGTTCATTTTGGGTAAAATTTGAATTTGGAATGGCCTGTTCTACATGGAGAACAACCCGTTCTGCATGGAGAACGGTCTGTTCTGCATGGAGAACGACCCGTTCTTAAAGGAGAACGGCCTGTTCTGGATTGGTTTTAACTCATGCCAAACTATGCTAGAACGACCCGTTCCAAATTATAATTTTAGGCCTTTTTAACAATCTGGACGATCAATCTTAAAAGTTAACTTTTAAAATCGGTTATTTAACCGATTTTAAAAGTCTAACTTTTAAAATCGACTCTTTTAAAATCGGTTACAGAATCGATTTTAAAAGTTAAAAATAATCGATTTTAAAAGCCTTTTTTCCACTAGTGGAGAAGTTGATGAGTATGTAATTATGTGTAATTTGTGTCTTTTATAAGTGTAACTTGACCTTTGGAGTGCTCTTATCAATTGGATTTGGATTGAAGGTGATAAAGAATGGTGTAGGGAATGTTCTAGGTGAGCTAATCTCGCTAAAACAAATAATTAGCTCACTTAAGTAAGTAAATGGTTGAATTTTCTTTTGTGGTCTTCATGAAAGTTGTGTCATGGACGTTAGCTTTCAAATGTCGTTGGAATCATTTAAAAAGAAGATCTAGAACTTAAGTGTAATTAATTTAGTGAGTGAAGATCAGATTGTCAAATTCAAGCTAAAATGATGTGGGTTTGTAATTTTTAAAAATAGTAGATGATAAAATTAACTCTTAAAGTCAACATAGAAGTTGTAAATGATTGTCTTAACTTTATAACAAAATTAAGATCAACCTAATAACATGTATATAGCTCTAGATATCGTGTTTGGACCACACGAGGTCATAAAAGATTTAATTATGAAAATGTAATTTGTGAATGGTGGTGGTAAATGACTTTACCCTTTAAATGTTTGATCTTATGAATGGTTTGAGATACTTAAATCAATACTTAGGAAAGAGAAATAATAAGAGATAACAATGGTGAATAAGTTATGATGTGAGTGATTGCTAATGACTTGAAGTGTTTTAGTGATAACGATGCCTAAAGAATTAATGTGTGATATCAATATATTGCTAGGCTAGTTAAGTTATTAATTTAAATGCTTAGTTTGATATTGATCTCTTAGTAGCTATGATTGAGTTATTAACATATGATTAGATGATTTTATAATGGTTCAGTTAGAGGTATTATCGAGTGATGTCGTGGACATAGTGTGTTTGAACTGTGAACATGTACTCTTGTTAAATAATTGTAATTGATGATTAATTGGTTACTTTAAACTGTGAACTGTGAGTTATGTATGATTAAATGATGTTAACTGACATTGGTTTCAACAAAGAAATGTGTGGATCTTGTAAGGGTCATGTGATGGTAAATTGAAAAATCGTTATGTGTGGATCTTGTAAAGGTTATGTGATGAAAATTGGAAAATTGTGAATATTCATAATGATAACCTGATATTGTATCAAGTCTCGTGTGACATACATTATATGCATGCAAATTGACAAATTGGCAAATTGATACATATATGATTTTATATATGTTTGACTAACACCACATACATATATAAATCGTATTCCATGTCTATTGCATTACACATCTGAATGTGTATTATGTGATGTGATAAATCATGACTAGTCTAATTGCAACTTGTTGTTATTAATTTAATTAGGTGTGTGTATATATATATATATATATATATATATATATATATATATCTTATTATTGTGTGTTGAGCTATCTCGCCTTATTCTACATTGTGAACCAAAGTGATGTTTCTCACTCTTCGTTTATTGTGTTTATTTTATGTGAATATTATTGCAGGTGATCAGTCTCATCACGATGTTGATGATGCAAGTAATGATGCCTAGACCTTATGTTGGATTGTGCTTTGATAGGACATGACATTGGAGTTTAGTTAAGATTTCTATTTTGTTGGTTTCTTTCCGTTTAAGACTTCATGTTAGATTTTATTTTGCAATTACTATGTTGGACATTTGTTTTAGTCTTTTAGTGACATATTACTATGTGATACCTTTATTTAAAGTGATTTTTGCAAATCTTTGTTTAATTAATAAAATTTATTTTCGAATACTTTTCTATCTTCATTATATTATACGTCAATGTTAATATGTAGAGTAGAAGGTGTTACAATTATATTTTTATTAAAATTTTTTTTTACAATAGCCACAAGGGTATTATATAATATTACGGGTGCAAGATACTGAATTTTTACATATATACTAATAATTTATTTAAAGTGAGAATGTACATTTGTTCACTGTTGTGTAAGTGTGGGCCATATAATACAAGCCTTTATGGTGTAATTTTATAACATCTATGTTAAAAGTAGAACCCTTGATTAATAACTCAAGCCCTCCAATGCCAATAAAATAAATAGGAAAATTAACTTGTTAATGTCTTTTTACATTATCTAAAAAATGAACAACTGTTTTAGATTATTCTTACACAAAGAAAAGGAGTGACCATGAGACATTGAACTGAAATGTTGAGCCTTGCAGAACTCTCTAATGATGGTTTGATTGTTGAATTTCTCTACCTATAGATAATTTTCCTTGTTTATTAGAGGCAATACAAAAATTTCACTCCTATCTTATAATGTCAAACTTTATTTTTACCCCAAGCCCTATAATTCCCAAGGGCATATTATGGTTTTGTAATAGAAAATTTGAATAAAATTGTAACTTTTGCTATTCTACATTTAAATCTTATACATTTAAACATACATGTAACTTAAGTTAGGAGGAAATGTCACTTATTGTCAAATTTTGAGGAAAATTGTTCCCATATTAGACTAAGAATACTTAATAATGAACAATTTGTTTTAAAACATGTATGTATAATTTGTCAAACGTGTAAATGTATATAATATAACTAATAATAGAACATAGCTAGGTTTGTGAGTGAGACACAATGTCACCACCTAATTTTGTCTTATTTATTTTATTATATTAATTTTCCTACTTTTTTCTAATAATAATAATAATAATA